CCCCCTTTCAAAACTCAACCCAAAACCGAATGAGATAGAATGTAACAGATAAAACACGTAACAGTGTAACAAGGAAACGAAAAAGAGCAGACGACCTTATTGGCCTCATTGGGCTGTATCTATCTATATAATATGTGGACTTGTGAGGCTTTGTGCACAAACTCCTCCTTTATTACCTAACCCACACCTTTGAAACTTTGCAGGCGTCCTCAGCATCAATGTGGCTAGGATTTAACTTTAAAAATCCACGCAAACTGCGTTCCCCGATTTTTCCAAAATGCTTTGTTTCGTCCACACAGAGTTCTAATCTTGGGAAAGTCCGTCTTCTAAGACGCCATTGTAAACGAGTGAGGTTTACGTTTACTAGCCGTGCGCACTGATTTCACACCTTTGAAATTCTGGAGTGTACAACCACGACAGCGGAATAGAGAATCAATCTATACATTATCTATTATATATTTGGCAACTTGGAAACACGTGTGTCACTTTTCTCTCAAGATTTATTGCTACATTACCAGTAGATTGTACATATAGTAGGCCAATGACTTTCAATTGATGTTGATGCACCGATCATTTTTTCCTACCAGCTAGTTATTTTTTATTGTTGGACTTTGAACTAGCATGTGACTAGTTATGTTTCGTGAGACATCCGGTTATCAAAAGCAAATTTGGACGGGGTTTTTTTTCTTGGTTTTTTTTTTTTTTTTGGTTTTTATTGTTTTGGGTTTTTGGTTGCTGTTTTTTGTTGTTGTTTTTTTTGCTTGTAAAAGCTGGCCAGCTCATATAACTAGATCTAAATCTTTTCAGTCTGGATACGCTTTCATTCTGAAGAATCTTTCAGAAGCAACAATATATCTGACGTGGGCCTGGCGTAATTTTAAGATTGACAAACTACATTCTCATTGACGACACAAACGAGCTGAGGCAACCTACTCTGATCGGTCTACGAGTTTTCTTTTCTTTTCTTTTTAAAATCTTAGTTCTTCGCCACCGGTTTTTTTTTAAATCGATTTTCTTTATCAGAGAATATGGAACTATAGACTACCCCCACAGCCTATTCAAATAGCATTGATTGCTTTGCACACATTCAAGACCAAACATGTATAACTAACATTTGATCTGTAGGTTAGTAGGACTTGTCATGGCGGCGTGTCTTCAAAATATGACCTGGCAAGATTTAATCGTTTCAAAAATATTCACTTTGGATTCGTTGCATTTAACGGCTTTAAGATTAAACGAACTGAGACCGACAGTGCGTGTCGCGTCGTCACCCATCGTTGCCGAACGTCAAAACAACGAGGTCTTCAAGAGAACCAGCCCCCCCCCAAAAAAAA